TACACATGTGACACGCGCGGACTTGCGAGACACGTGGACTGGGGCAACGACGTCGACACAAGGGCATGCGATTCGCCACGGTCATCTGTGTACTGCGAGTGTTAGCATAGTTAAAGGATTGGGAACACACTGTTGCACTAGACCTTACTTCACTGTTCCAATGTTCAAATTGTGCACTTCCAAAGTGTTGAGACACATGATGCAGGCCCAACTGTTCCAAGTGTACACCTCACAGGTGTTCGAATCCAACAGTGTCTGCCCAAATGTTTCAAATGTACACCTGTGAGGCGTTCGAATCCAACAGTGTCTGCCCAAATGTTTTAATTGTACATCTCACAGCTGTTCAAATGCAACACTCCCTGCCCAACTGCAACTGTTTCACGTGTACACCGCATAGACTGTTCAAATTTCAGAGTATGCATGTGATCAGAAAATGTTAGATTCATACACTTTGGGCGCAATAAGATGCTAATGGTTGGCGGGTGCATATATTCAACACCTGTGTAGAAATCACACGGTAGCCAAGCGCTTGATATCGCAGATACATCAGTGGTAGATGATGTAGAGCGGGCAATATCGAATGTCGCTCCCGCAAGCCACAGAGGAGCGTAGGCAGCGGACCGATTGAGTTATATTTATGTATTTATGGCGAAATCCTAGCGAAAACCGCGGAGCGGCTGGATCGCCGGTTGATTTTTCACGATTCGAAAACTCGGCGCGGGCGAAGCTGCGGTTCAGAAATGGTCGAGATTGGCTAACGCGTCAAAGATACCCCTGCACGTGTTGAGATGTACACCTACCATTTGCCCCCATGCGGCCGGGGTGGGGGCAAAGGGAAGAGATCGAAATTCGAATCACAAGGGAGAAATTCCCAAAGTTGTACATGCACTGCATTTTGACGGTTCCTCGGACCTCGCTAAAGCCTCCAAACCTCGGCTAAGGTGGGTCTGGAACCTGTCAAAATGCAGTGATGACGCCTTGGAAAAAAATGTCCCAGAAGGTGGGAAAGCTAAACAATTAATTCAATTTGAAAGGTTATGTTTGTGGGTACCTCAGAAAATTAGAGGGGACCATAGGTACATGCAGATACCCAAATCACAAATTCACAATTTTGGGGGAAAAGGGCATGAAGGGAGGAATCTTTTCAACCGGATGAAACGAGATCGGACAAAAAGACTCTAGGGGATCTCAGAAGGTCAGGTCGTTGAAATCTCCGTTAAATGTTTACGACTGCAGGACAAGCGCTGCGGAAGTGCCTGATGACCAACGGCGAAGAAATGGAATGTCAGAATGGCCGATGGAATGGCAAAATGGCCGATGAATATGGAATAGCGCGATGGCCGATGGCTATTGAATGGCCAAATGGTATACGGAAAGCGGCGTATGAGACTCCGGATGAAGGTGGACGACATGTCCGGGACGAGTTTCAGCTTCCATTGCTGGAGGCAAGCGAGCAAAGAGAACGACGGACAGAGGCTATGGCCCACTGTTTATTCCAACAGGGAACAAGGTAAATAACCACACAAGGTGATCCCAGAGCTTAGAGCCTAGACCAGAGGCTGGAACCTAGGATACTAAATCCATCTCGAACCAGGCACTACACCGCTGAATGCAAGGCGCCGATAACGCCGGCCCCGACGAAAGAAAATCAACCGGACAAAGATCGCATTCATTCTTCAAGTACAATATCTCCGAACTGAATCCAGATCGAAGAGCTGCCAGGTACACTTCACTCGGGGATTTGGATAAAATGATTCAAGACACGCCTTCCTCCATCCTCCATTAGGGCGTAAGTTTGTATATATAACTACGCGCTTCGCACCTCTCCGTACAACCTCGTCCTTTACGATGAAGATTTCCTTCTCCCTGAATCTCCGTGCTCTCCTTGGCGCCTTTTTTATCGCCGGCATATCTTCCGCGACAGCCATTCCTACCTCACACGATAATTCCGTCTGTGAGCCCAGAACTCATGTCGTGATCGATTCATCCACGGTAGAAATCTACAACTCTAGCAGACATGGAACCGAGGGCCACCTTCGTCTGTTCAAGATGATTCCCCTGGCCTGCCCAGAACGGTACATCCGCACGTTGCCCCGCGAGCTCTCATTCCGTACGGATCTTCAGCTCCGTGACACGCGCACGGAGCTGTCGACTATTGTCTTCCGCCGAGGCTTCTTCACTTGGGCCAAGTCACTTCTCAAGTTCGTGCCCTCTGCCTTCAGCACGATCGTCGGAATCTTCGGGCTTGTCGATTGCGCCTGGGAGTGGAAAAAGAACGGGGCGACGGTGCCCGGTGGGTTGGCGTGCGTCCTTGGTGCCATCACGACCGCCTATGGCATCGGCGAGTTCCTTCAGCTCAGGGCCGCAGCCTCGCTTGCTACCGCGGCCACCAATGCGCACGAGTTGCAAACCATCGTGGATAGGACGTTCTCTGAGGCCGGGACGCAGTATACCTTCGGCAGGCGGGCGAATCCCAGATTCGAAGCCGCCGTTACCAAATACCACTCCCTTATTCAGAACTTGACCCTTCCTGGGGTTCGCCACCATGCCAGTGGCAAAGATGTGACATTTTGGGATGTTGCTAGAGCAAATTCGACGCATCCAATCACCGTCTTGCACAGTAACCGAGCCTTTAAAGCAAACCATTCGCATGCCGTCAATGTCTGGTCGAGTGTGGGGAACCCAGGCTCAGGGATCCCACGGTTTCACTTCATGGTCCCGTTCCCCTACGGTTCCAACACCACTTCCACTACGACATCTTCTGAGCTTCGCCGCCAGGCTCCTCCTCCTGCCTGCCCTGGGGCCGAGAACCATGACCTGGGGCAGGGTTCCGAACAAATCTGCCATCCTAACGGCATACCGCCCCCGAACCCGAACGCTCCCGGAGCCATGTACTACGGTTTCGACCTTTACGGGACCAAGGCGCAGGTAGACGAGTTCCAGGACGATTTGGGATCGACGTTCGACGATCAAAACGGATTCGTGCCGTCAATTGAGGCTATGGCGAATGGTATTGTGACGGCGAACGCGTGGGATACTTGCGTATGCCAGATGACTCAGAATACATGGATTTCGACAGGGAGCATTCAGATGTCATGGGACAACACGTATAATGGGTACTCCCAATGCTTCAAGCCGAACTGCGACAATGATGCGATGATTTAAGGAGGAGAGTTTGTAGAGGGACGCTCGGGTGCATAAAGGGCGGGAAATTCCATAGTTGCGATATGTACATCATTTCTTTTTTATATATAAGTTACATGGTTTGAATTTCCAGGCCAGCGAGAGAAACCGGGAATGGTTGATGGTTTTTCTCTCTGACTTCTTTGATACACTGTTTGATTAAAATACTTATGCCCCGCCGAGATGTAAAGTGAGGGAAAATCGCAGGACATCGAAAGTCTGAACGTGGTTCAAAAATCGGATCAAATCGGGTCATTCATTAAACTCGTTCGTATTAACAGAAAGGCGAAGGAAAGTCTGGCCACTGGCGCCGGAGAGCGTGAGTTCCATCATCACTCCCCATCGCTTGACGCTCGAATTTACGGTTTGAGCGCACAAAATAATGTAGTTTGATCCATTGAATTTAGGATGCACTGGGGTGAATAGTACGGATGCGAACAAACGATTGGGCCAGGTGGCCCACTAGGCCGTTTTTGCCATTTTGGGATACTGCTGAAAGAAAAATCTGGTAAGCCATGAAACCATCGTGTAAATTCGCGAGAAATATCTTGGCTCACTCACAGGATGCATACCCTGGCTCCAAAGCCCATATACCGGTATCTACCTCACTTTATGCGTGGGATCAAGGTCAAAAATACTAAGGTACCCAGTCTTAGATAATAGCCACGGCAAACCCCGTAATGTTTTCAAAATGCAAGTAACAGCGAACCCCAGATACTGGCTACATTTTCCGTGAACAACATGAATAGAAAGCCAGGGTGTACCGTACACCACGCTCGAGTTCATCATGCAAGTGCATGCTTTAATTCGAGATGCAGGCATAAAAAAGAGGAGCTGCCGTAGGGCGACGCGGGCAGTCAAACGTACCTCGCTCGCTGGATTTAATTTTCGGCGCAAAGAGTTCATTGAGCGAGGGTCTCACGTCCAAGTTATCGTCCTGCAAGTGCCCTGCTCTGTTCGACATATGAATGTGCAGTAGTAAATACTCCAGAAAAAACAAAGTTTTGGAAAATGGAAGACTTCGGGCGCAGGGAGTCGAACCCCGGACGCTGGCTACAAGTATTTCGGAAGACGTGACTAGAAAGCCAGGGTGTGCCGTACACCACGCCCAAGTTCTTATCATACAGATGCCCAGCGCTAGCTATGAAATTTAATTCGAGGTGCAGGAGAAGGGTCGTACGGAACGCAAGTTAAAAAGTTCAAGTTTGGGTTCCTCTGGGGGCTAACAAATAAACTGAGTGCACCATTATTATTGGTATACAGCAGTCATTTAAATGCACTACATTTATCACCCGCTTTTGAAGAGAGCAGTGGGAACAAAAAAGAGTTAACGGATCTCGAACGCGGGGAGTCGAACCCCGGACGCCGGCTACATTTACCCTGAAACCGACGAATAGAAAGCCAGGGTGTACCGTACACCATGCTCGAGTTCATCATCACTGCGTTCCGACCCTTCCTAGACTCAGCTTGAGTGTAGGAACCTTGAAGTAGCTACATCAATGATTGAGGCTAGGTGCCTAGAAAATAGTCTGTGGAGGTCTGTCTGGCTCTGGCTAGGTTGGCACAGGTAGGTCTAGGTCTGGCAAGATCTGTGTAGGTTGCAACAGGTGCTTGTAGCCACCTACGCAAGGGGGGAAGGGACGTGGTTGCTCAGAATATTAGATGATAGAAATGTTCAACATTAAAACATAAGTCTAGGTCTGTGTAGCCAAGTTTAGGGACCTTCCACGAGCTACCCTCATCTACACTGACTTGAGTTTAGCCGCCTTACTGGGTACCTGTAAAGCCAGACAGACATTATGTGTAGTCGCCTAGATGGGGGGCTGTGTAGGGACCTACACCGACCTAACTCCATCTGGCACAACCTACAGCGCCTAGTCTCAGCTGAGTCTAGGACGGGTGGGAACGCAGTGCATGCAAGTGCATGATTTAATTCGAGATGCAGGCAAAAAAGGGCAGAATGAGTTGGAAGTAGGAAGTCAAACGTAAATACCTCTCGCTCGCTGGATTTTATTTTCGGCGCAAAGAGTTCATTGAGCGAGAATTTCGGGTACAATCACGTCCAAGTGATCGTGCCCTGCTCGGCGTATGAATTTGCTTAGAGGAGTAAATACTCGACCAAAAAAATTGGTCACCTACGATTCGGACGCAGGGAGTCGAACCCCGGACTCTCGCTGCAATTATTCACATTGAAGCGACATGGAAAGCGAGGGTGCGCCGTGCACCACATCCGAGTTAGATGCCTGGGGCGGTAACACAGTATGAGATAGACCTTGGGAGAGAATGACCTACATAGTGTCTATAGTGCGGTGTAGTGAAGGTCTCTTGTTGTATAGTTGAGTATAGTAATCCCTCACTATGTAGTGCTATATAGCACTACATAGAGCTCCATAGTATGGTGTAGTATGGTATAGTCCCCAAAAATCAGAATTTGCCCATGCAATCTATTCCTGGCAAGCTACACACCTTAGTTCCGGCGACTCCAAACTCGGGCGGTCGCTGCTCCGAGAAAAATAGACGTCGAGAGAAGAGAGGTCGTCCTTTGTGGTCGGATCCTGTCGATAGCAAATGCGCAAAGAATGAATGACCCGCTGGATTCTTGTATTTCGATCGCCCCTCGGTCAACTTGAGCGAGGTCGGCTGAGGTTGGCCAAGGTTGGCCGAGGGGTCTTGACCAACCCGATCCCACTCGGCCAACCCAGTCGAGCCCCTCGGCCAACCTCGGCCAACCTCAACCGACCTCGGTCAAGTTGGCCTAGGGGCCATGAAAATGTAGTGTATTCTTGTATTTCGAATTCGGTGCAGAGCCAAGGCCCAAAATCCAGAACACGTCGAATTTCTCACCGAATAAATTTGGCACCGAGTTGAGGATGACATGAGCCCGAGACGTGAGAATTACTTTCCTTATCCGAGTGCAACATCTGATAAGTAGTGCTTAAATGGACCTGCTGCGGCGCTGCGCCTCACAAGCTACTGTATAAAGCACGGATGTTAGCGTCCCGACGTCGACGCTCGAATCTAATGGCCACTGGAACCGACACACCTTCCGGACTGGATAAGGACCCTACCGCGTACCTCGCCCTCCCCCGCTTTAACAACACCCTCCATTTTCACTTTGAGTTCCCGGGAACAGAGAGCCACACAGCGACCGTCACATACGCACTCACTGACGTGCCTCCAGATGGCTCCTGGCCCGTCCTCGTCTTATTCAATGGTCTCGGCGGACACCGCTTCGTGGCAGCCCTGATCGAGGGCATCGCGCGCTCCCACCGCGTGCAGATCCTCACCCTCGACAAGCCCAATGGCGGCGGCTCCCCGGGCCTCTCTATCCCACTCGCGGCCCGCACCCGCTGGATGCACGCTGCTCTCCTCGCCGTCCTCGCCCACCACACCATCACCCGCTTCGCCCTCCTCTCCCACTCCAACGGCCTCTTCTACGCCCTCTACACCCTCCTCCACCTCCCCCCCACCCTCACCGCAACGACCTGGACGCTCACCGGCCCGTTCGTCCCCGCGAGCATCAGCGGCTCCGTCGCCCTCCGTGTCGCCGCCGTCCTCCCCGCGCCGCTCCCCGGCGCGCTCGGTTCGCTCCTCCAGGTCGTCCCCCCAATCGCGCGCGCAGTCAGCTGGAGCGGCGGCCTCCTCTCCCTGAGTGCGGGGCTCCTCTCTCCCTCCTCTTCCGCGGCCCCGACCGCCGACAGCACGCCGCCGCACCAGCGCGGGTACATCGACCGCACCATCGGCCCCGTGTGCCGCGCGGCGATCATGCGCCGCGGGATGGCCGAGTCGCGCGTGGCGATGGGGCAGGAGGTGCTCCTCTCCCTGCATGGGGGCGACGCCGCTCCTCGTCCTCCTTCTCTTCCTTCTACTTCTCGTCCTGGCGCGGCGAGTACCAGTGAAAACGAAAGCGACAGCATTTGGGGCCTCGGCGCGGGCCCCTCCCCCGCCCACATCCTACAGAACGCCTTCGCGCGCCTGGCGGGACTCTACCCCGACGACGCGCTGCGGATACGCGTCGTGTATGGCGCCGCGGACGGGATGGTGCCTGTGCGGGGGCGGGTGTGATTGAAAGGCGTGCTCGAGGCCGAGGGGCTGATACACAGTGAGGACGCGGACGCGTGGATAGAGGTGCCCGACGCGGGGCACGACGACGTGCTGTTCCTCGAGGAGGTGGTTGGTGGGATTTTGCGGCGCGTCGCGGGGGAGTAGGCGTGCTGGGGTGTTTCGATGGTCACCATTTAATTTGGGAGTTTCTTCTTGGGTATAACACATATCTAATCATCAGTAGCCTCAAGTTCATACCATGCCAGCTTCCAAGGTCTAGTCTTCCTTCAGTCTTCCTGCTCCGAGTCATAGACATATCCTATTGAATTAATACTGTAAACCTGTAGCTGTCACCGATCTAGATATACTATGAGCATCACTTGAAATTGAACTCGAAAAATGGCTGAACAACCGGTGGCCACTACTGTAGTAATTAATATACTTCTCGCCCGGTTTTGGTGAAGGTCATAATATTAATATTGTGAAAATCTTCCCGGTCCGCCGGGGTTCCCAGCGAAAAAGGGCTAGCGCTCGGAAATTATGAGTTATGAAAACTTTGAAATGGAAGGAAAGCGGCTCGAAAACATATATATAATTCATCTGAAATTTAAAGCTCTTTGGAGATCATGCCTGCCTTCGAATTCTCCGGTGGAATCACGCCGGTGCCGTTTTATTCTTTCGTTAACCTGAACTGAACTTGAAGCTGAAGACTCGGACCCAAGTTCACCATTCAACGTACAACGTTCAACGTCAACATTCAACTTCGGAGTCGGAGTCGGACTCTCTATATTATCAGCGACTGGGTACTGGGCCATCTTAGCGGTTTTGACCTTGTGAGGACAGATGGATTGGTGTGGATACAAATATATTTGCACTTTAAGGAAGCTACAGATCCTATGAGTAAATGGATAATTTTTCCGCGAATTTACATGATGATTTCCGGACCTGCCGAATTTCTCTTCTGGCACTTTCCCAAAATGGAAAAAACGGGGCAGTGGGCCACTGCCTTAAATCGCTGGTTTGGACTCGTTCTGGCCACCCAAATGTATCTCAAATTAGAAAAGTACTATGAGCCCACCATTATATACACCCAACATGTGAATCCAAGGTATTTCAGCAGTGTAAGCATTTGCCTTGAAGCCAAGGCTGAAGGGTGAAATCGGAGTTTGGATTGAATGGGGCGCTCTACAAAGCACAGACGAAATTTGTGCCAGAAAGGAGGGTACATGTGGCTACATACGATGTATTGGAATATACTAATCAGCATAGTATGGTCTCTACACACCAATAACCCCACCAAAAAAGCTCGTCTATACACGCTAATGGAATTCGTGGGTTTGGACATGTACCCCACCGTGGCCAGAAAGTCGAGCCGGTGAAAGCCCACTGCTGGGGGAGGGGACAATACTGTGTATTTAAAATGCACTTACAAAGTTCTAGGGGATTAGTTTTCATGGGTGGGTCACTATAGCGGCTGCTGTAGTGGACTACTGGAGATCAGATAGAGGTCATTCGTGAGGTTCCAGGAGACGAGACGGAGAGGTTTTGATGTATGCGATAGGCCTATGTCATTCACGAAGATCAGGCGATGAGAACGAGCCCCAGACCTTGTGGATCGGTGAAGAATTGGTGGAGAAATGGGCAGGAGAAAGCACAAAGGGGTGCTCGGAGATAAGAAATGATGTTCACACGCCTGCTGCCGCCATTATAATGACGCACTGCTTTTGATCGCCGCTATCATTTGCCTCCAAATTTGACGTACGGAGTCCTCATAGGTCGCATACCGTGCCATAGGTCTCACATTCCGACTTGATGTATTGCACTGCCTGGTATTATGCAAATGGCCCACTACCTAGACTGGCCCACTAGGCAGTCACTGATAATACTAGGAATTCTTGCTTGTACAGTTGTACTTGGCTGTTCGACAGTCGAATCATCCGCATACTTACAAGTTATGGCTATGCATATGCACTCCGAGACGCGCGCGTCATTCAAAATCAAATTGTATCCTGAGGCTTAGGGTAAATCTTCGACGAGCCTCCTACACAAATTCAAAGATGCCAGTAAA